TTCCTTTTTTGTTAACTTCGACCAATATTTCTTGTCGTCGATTTTTCTGTTCTCAAAAGTGTTTTATTGAAATTAATTTATGAATTATTTCTTCGAAACTCGTTCTTTCGAATTTCTCCTTTTGGATTATATGTGTAATTCTTTTGAAATATGTGTTTATTATATTAAAAAGTTTTATCCAGCGATTTTTCTGTTCTCAAAGTGTTTTACGAAATTAATTTATTTCTGCGAAAATTTCTCTTTCCCTGATACTCGTTCTTTCGAATTTCTCCTTTTGGATTGTACGTGTAATTCTTTTAAGATATGTGTTTATTAAAATACGAAGAAAAGGTACAAAGTTTTATCCATCGATTGAACGATTGAATAAATTCTTAGAAATTGTTATTCAAAATTTCTATCATTTTATTGCGTAATACGATATAAAAGAAGAGACTTTTGCGCACGATTAATTCTCTTATTCTCATTTATTTATAGAAAAAAAAGAAATACTAAACTCGATGGTTGAAAAAGAGATTCACGATCGTAAGAATTCTCTTATTCTCATTTATAAAAAAAAAAAAAAAATATTAAATTCGATGGTTGAAAAAGAGTAAGACTTCTCTTATTCTCATTTATTTATAAAAAAAAAAAATATTAAATTCGATGGTTGAAAAAGAGGATCGTAAGACTTCTCTTATTCTCATTTATTTATAAAAAAAAAAAAGAAATACTAAACTCGATGGTTGAAAAAAAGATTCACGATCGTAAGAATTCTCTTATTCTCATTTATTTATAAAAAAAAAAAAATACTAAATTCGATGGTTGAAAAAGAAGTTCACGATCATAATAATTATCTTATTCTCATTTATAAAAAAAAAAAAAAATACTAAACTCGATAGTTGAAAAAGAGGTTCACGATCGTAAGAATACTCTTATTCTCATTTATTTATTTATAAAAAAAAAAAAAGAAATATTAAATTCATTAGTTGAAAAAAATGATCCTAAGAATTCTCTTATTCTCATTTATGTATAAATGAAAAAAAAAAAAGAAATACTAAACTCGATGGTTGAAAAAGAGGTTCACGATCATAAGAAGTTGAAAGAAACGCGTAACTAACGAAGTTCAAGATGTATATTAGATGCTAATTGCCCTGGCCGTGGCACCGAGCTATGAGAACCTTCTCCCCTTCCATTGTTCCCTGTAAACGCGAAACTATTGACTCCCCTCTCACGCTCCTAACCAACTATCCAACCAACCCTTCTGATCCATCCAATCGTCTTGAATTTCCAAATTACTTGCTTCGCCCTGCAATCGAACTTAACATCCAAAAAGTGAAAAGGAGAAGCAATATTTTTACCATTTCACCACTTCGAAATTGGAAACTTACCCCCTTCAGAAAGAAAGCCCGGTTATGGCAGGGCAGACGAAAAGAAATTCACAAGTTTCGCACGGCGGTTTTGCGCTCGATTGTTTCGTAATCACATCGGGGATCTGAATAATTTGGCGGCACCGAGGTCGCACGCCCTTGCGGTTTCCAACGCCGAGGGGAGGGGGAAATTAACGCCATTGGCTGCTTTCTTTCGACGGGGAACCGCTACCTTTTTCATTACACGGACGTGTAAATAACCTCTCGATTTCCACTCTATCCCTATCTGGGCATTCGAAATTGCAAAAATTGAAAGTGTCTCTGGGTTTCTCCTTTTTCTCGTGTACTTCCTATAACTTGTATATAATTATTTCGATGTGTTCCTTTTTTAAAAACGAAGTGATATAAATATAATTATTTCGAAAATCGAGGAAGAATTTAAATAATAGCTCTAGTTCGTTTATATGAAATACTCAGAATAAAATTGATGCTATAAAAATGAATCTTTCTCGAATCTAAAGCATTAAATCCGAATAACTTGCTTTTTGATTGATTAATTCGATTATGTATCGCACAACTTCTTTTAAACATCACGTGTGGTTATCGATCTTTCCTAGCTGCCCCTCCTTCCTTTGACTCGGTGTAAACGACCTTAAGCCTTCCCTGCTCGCACATTTTCTATCGATTTCCTTGGCAACGGTACTCGCTAATAAGATCTTACAGAGATTAGAATTTATTCCTTTTCGTCTTTGATCGAGGCTTCCGTCGTATGTGTGTATGCGTGTGTGTGTGTGTGAATCGTTTTGCTTCCATCGATGGATAGATGAATCTTATCGAGGAATGTTAATGTTTCGTAAAAATTATGTCACATTCTGCAAACATATATTCAATGTATACTTAATATTACGTGTTGTTATATGATGCGCGCCTCGCCGTGATTTGCATACTCGACTCGAAGCCACGGCTTAATTAATCCTTTCGAAGTTGATTTTTTTTTTTACATCCTCGTCTATATTTTATTCAAGATCGTGAAAATTCCTATCCGTTCTCGATCGATTTCCACCTGTCGATGATAATTAAAATAGATTACAGGCAATCAAGAGGAGTTGTGGGAATAATTAATTTTGTAGTACAAGAGATAATTAATTTCGACAAGCATTTGAACGATGCGCGAAATTCATAGCGGAAAATTGCATATTTTAGGAGTTTTTAGAACACTTCGCTCGGGAGAAACCCGTTTTCAAGAAGCGGTTCTCAAACGATAATTTGTAACGATTTTAATATAGATCTCGATTGGGAAACCCATCTAGAAAAAGAAAGAAAAAAAAGAAAACGATACCACGAAAAGAAATAAGAAGCAAGAAGTGCAACATCGTTTCCTCCTCCTCAAGATTTCCGTACCGGCTGCTGGCAGCGGAAGATCACCGAGAAAAATACGTTTACCGTGGTTAATGTCCCGGAGATACGGATAGGGGTAATGATGTAACAAGAAGCGAAGGAAAGAATCGGAAATTCTTCTTCAAAAATATCGTTCTTAACTTTCGAGAATGAAGTTTCGAAGAGATTTCGAAGTGAAAATGCTTAAAATGCTTTCGAATAAATAAAGGCTTATTAGGGTCACGCATGCAACGAGGATTGCAATTTTATGAAGAATCACCTGTCGACCTTCCCGCACACGAACAGTTATCTATATGCGGCAAAACGTTCGAAGGACAAGGTGGATCGAATAAGAAGAAGAAGAAGAAGAAGAAGAACAGGACGTGGATGCAAATACGCCTCCGCTGTTCGTACGTGTTAGAGCACTTAACGGGAAAACGAGGTTAACTTGAAATATTGTAGGAAATTATTAACACCGTGTATACGTTTTAAGCGATACAGAAATTTGGATATATATGTTATATCTTAAAGATTCTTAAAAGGATTTTCACAATTTTCGCAAAGATTATAGATTTAGAATTTCTTCTCAAATTTTTTTCTCCATCGTCCAAGTGTTCGAGCTATTAACACATCGTTGCATAATGAAATTGATATTGATATTGAGATATATAATTGATATTGAGATATTTAAAACGACAAATTTTCCCAGGCCAATGAAAAAAATTGAAATGGAAATGGTTCCCCTCCGTCGAAGAGTTTTTATATCTTCCTTTGATTCTCAACACAAAGCACAAAACTTAATAACAAGTTTTCACAGCAAAGTTAATTTGCCCCCACACCTGTAATAACAGGTGTACTCTTAAAACTTAATACTCGTTGCCACTGATTATTACGAACGAGTCATTAATATTAATATCAACATTAACTATTAATAGAGAACTTCTAACTTCCAACAACAACGGTTCCGGCGGGTTTAATGGGATGCAATCGCTTTCGTGTTTTCCGTAAAAAAAAATTCCTCCCCGATAAGAATCAATTTCTGCGCATTTCATGCCTATTAAAATTCTATCGCCACTTATTCCCACTCCTCTCTCTCTCTCTCTCTCCTTCTCTTCGTTTAAAAAAAAAGGGGGAGGGGGGAGGGAAATGAAGTTTCGCTCCACCATTTTACCACCGTTGTGTTTCGATAGGAAACGCGTGGGCGTCGATTATCTCTTGCCACGATGTTTAGCCGCAAGGATAGTTCTACAACTATGTAATGCATATACAGTCCGTCACAAAAATTTAATAAATTGCGTCGAGTGAAACGAATAATATTTGTAAAAGCATTTAATAATTGTAATAAGATTGTTCAGTATTGGTTCAGTATTATAATACTCTAAAAGAATGTACTTACTTTTTTCTTTTTTTGAAAATGCGATACGATAACGACACGTCTAAAATATAATTTCTTTATAAAAATAAAAATAAAAATTTTTTTAAAAAAACGTACGTTTATGAGCAATTTTATATTATATAATCAATATAATTCAAACGCTATATACCTTAGGTAGATAAATTTTCATAAAAGAAGGAAAAAAAGAAAAAAGATTTCCCATTTTAAATTAATCCCCTTGGAAAAATAATAAAAACTTTTGCGATCGACTGTATAGAGGAGCGAACCGCTGACGCTTAATTAATCACTCGCGGGCGTTGTGGTGAAACGCTCTAGCCGAGATCCTAGACTTCGCAGATCGTGCTCGATTCGCGCGGTTGCGACCCGGTCGAGGCGTTCGTGTCGATCTATTCGTCGTCACCTCTGCGCGAGCCATCGCGACGAGGATCGTGGGTAGAATGTACCGTTCGGTGTCTCCGTTCGAGAATCTTTCTCCGCTTTGCTCTGCGAGCTTCGTGAATCAAGATTATACGAAACCAGTCGGGGACACTGTTCGATGGATGTAGATGGCGCATTAATGAGCGAGGACTTGGCGCGATTCGATTGTATTCGTCGAAAAAAACTGTTGTCGCCATTTCTATGTACGCGTACGTATGCGTTCATTTCATCATGCACTTTTAAAGGGGAGTAAATAGGTTTTATAAAACAAGTATCCATTGAATTAATCAAATCAATTTTATTATTATTTTTTTTAATATTATATCTTTTTCTTTTTCGCATATGTATGCAATTATCATGATAAAATTGTTTTATTATTAATCCAAAATTAATATGCCCATCTTTTAAATTTTATATACGCAATAATTACTCAATAATCAATAAACGAGAGAGAGAGAGAGAGAGAGAGAAATATCGAGTGATATAAATAAAAATGTTTAAAACTGTTTCTACAGCTCGTAGGAAAGGGATGGAGGAATACCCGTTCAACTGATTCACAGAAGTGTGGCGGAAATGAAGAAGAAAAGCATTCTCGTTCTCATTGTGGAAAATAGTGGCGCGGTGGAAGGACAAGAAGAGGGCGGGAAAAAGTCAGCCGGGGATCAACGGTGTTGCGCCGTGGAGGATGGCTTCGCCGTTGAGAATCGCGCAAAGGTAAATTGGTAAATTTCACGGTCCCTATCCGAGATAAATCTTTTACATCTTATAGAACACAGTTTTTAGCCCTCCCTCCTCCCCCTCCCCCCCTTTTTTTTTTCATCTTCATCCAATTCTTTCGCGGTGTTTCACGTAAGGCATCTTCACGCCTAGTGGCCACCTCTCTCCTCTGCAAATTTGTCGTCTATGTATTTGTATCCCCTCCTCCTACTGTTGACCGCAAAAAGGGGGACGCGAAGCGGAATGCGGCCGGCGGCAGCCTTCGTTCAAGCATTGAAGATCGTATCGAATTAGATCAGTGGAATTCGGTCTGACCCCCGCTGATCTTTTTCCTCCCTCCCTCCCCCCTCCTTTTTTTCTCTCGAATGGATAAAGATCGACCACGGTTGTTCACGGTGCATTGAACATCGGTTTCGAATGTTTCGATTGAATATCTCGCCTCGACCTTGAACGAGCCACGATACGTCCTTGACAGTGATTGAATAGGGAGTGAAGTGGATTCGAGAATTTCGGAGGGGATAGTTTTAAATGCATCGATTTTTTTTTTTTTAATTTTGAATTTTCTGTGATATAATAATAATAATAATAATAATAATAATAATAATAATAATAATAATAATAAAATATGATTTGTATTAGGGGAGAGGAAAAATTAGAGAAGGAATTTTTCTAGGTAAATTAATTATATTTTGATTTGACTGGTTACTTTAAGAAGGTATATGTATATAGCATGATTTCTTTGTAAGTTAGTTAAATAAGTAAATTTTATGGAAATGGTATTATTGAATTAATTTTGATCCTATTCGAATTTTCTTTAACAGATAATATTCATTATATTGTGTAAAATTGTCTCTATAGCCAATAATTATATTGCAGAAGAATTATGTTGTAATTAAATGACAAGTTATAGCGAATTTTATTGGCTGAAGTTAATATTATAATGTTTCGCGAATATTCATTGAATTTAATCCAGTTCTAAATCTAAATCTTGTGTTTCTCATAGGTCGAGGAACGCTCACGGCAAAATACGCTCTGAAGTGTTGGTAATTGGTTTAGAGTATCCTCTGTATCCTCTTCTCGAGACACGCTCTTCCTCCAAGAATTAATTCCAGATCACGTCCACAATTTCGAAAGCGATTACGACTGGATCGCATGCAAACTTCATTCGCGTAATTCTGGGAGCATTTTCTGTAATCATTCGTGTTAATTTCGTATCCTGTAATCGAGAAATAAATCCCTTCTTTTTCCATTACACAAACATCCAAGCGAGCAATTACACTATTTTCTTGATTATTCTTAAATTCTGGAAAATATTATAATATACGATTAATATAATATAATTAATATACGATTGATATAATTGAATTGGTGACAATTTTTATTTCATGATAATTCGATAAAATTCTTAAATTTACAAAGAATTGTCATTCAAGAATTTTAATTATTCTTTATTAATACAAGATGTCTCTAGCGATATTATTAAAATTAAAATTCCCTTTTGAAAATTAACCTTTCTTTTTAATTAATCCGTAATTCCATCCATATATCGTTAATTTTTATTAAAAGCATAATCCATCTTGGTTTCCAGATTTTAATTTTTCGGGTAAATTAAAAACACGAATATGAAATTACGTAAAATAGAAAAAGAATAATCAAACATTTGCCCATAATACGTGAGAAATGGCTACCGCTTACGATGAATAATAGGAACAAATCTACTTCCTTTGCTGCTCCACAGGAGTCTAACTCCTTTGATCGTGTAAGTAGCTACGAGATTCGAATGTAGCGATGTCAAGTCTCTTTATATAGATTATTTAAATTTCTTAAATAAAATGTAACGTACAATGATCATTACAATTGTAAAATCAGGTTTACAAGGTAAAATCAGGGGGATTAAAATTGTTTCGTTCGCTAAATTGATAAAATAAAACCGAATAATAATGGATTATGATACATCTCGACGTTAACTTGTAAATTTATTATATTGTATATTTTATTATAAATACCATTTTAGAGTAATTAATATCAAGTAAAGAAGTGGTGAACAGAGAAGTTGGATTTTAAACTGATAAAAAGAATTTATATCCGAAGACATCAATGATGAAAGCATCGATCGATAGAAAATATCGATATAAAATTATCACCCTTGATCGCTCATTATCATTCTCATCTATCGTACTTGCTCACAGCAAAACGAATCAAACAACGGATATATAATAAATTCAAAACGATCATCCTCTCCTACCAAATATCTTCTCTTTCTCGAACGAAGAATTCCTCACCAAATCAACTTCCAACTTCGAAACTACCAAATATCTCCTACCGAATATCTTCTCTTTCTATCGAATGAAGGAAAAAAGAATCAAACTCTCTACGAATTTTTACAAATTTTTAAAGAAATTTTCGATCCAAAACTCGATTGGAATTCTCCACGAAATCTCCAACTTCGAAACCAAATATCTTCTACCAAATATCTTCTCTTTCTATCGAACAAAGGAAAAAAAGAACCTCTACGAATTTTTACAAATTTTTAAAGAAATTTTCGATCCAAAACTCGATTGGAATTCTCCACGAAATTTTCCAACTTCGAAACCAAATATCTTCTCTTTCTATCGAACAAAGGAAAAAAAGAATCTCTACGAATTTTTACAAATTTTTAAAGAAATTTTCGATCCAAAACTCGATTGGAATTCTCCACGAAATCTTCCAACTTCGAAACTATCAAATATCTTCTACCAAATATTTTATTTTTTATATATTCTTTCTATCGAACGAAGGAAAAAAAGAATCAAACTACGAATTTTTACAAATTTTTAAAGAAATTTTCGATCCAAAAAAGATCGAAAACTCGATTGGAATTCTCCACGAAATCTTCCAACTTCGAAACCAAATATCTTCTACCAAATATCTTCTCTTTCTATCGAACGAAGGAAAAAAAGAATCAAACCCTCTACGAATTTTTACAAATTTTTAAAAAAATTTTCGATCCAAAACTCGATTGGAATTCTCCACGAAATTTTCCAATTTCGAAACCAAATATCTTCTCTTTCTATCGAACAAAGGAAAAAAAGAACCTCTACGAATTTTTACAAATTTTTAAAGAAATTTTCGATCCAAAACTCGATTGGAATTCCCCACGAAATCTCCAACTTCCAACTTCGAAACTCGTTTCGACTCGTTTCCTGTTTCTTTAATAACCCCTTAATAAAGCGATCGATCGTTGCGACCTGTTCTCTTGAAGAATCCGCAAGGATGTTCGCGTTAACGTAACTGTACCACGATCAACATCGTTCCACATAACAAGAGAGAGAGAGAGAGAGAGAGAGAGAGAGAGAGAGAGAGAGAGAGAGAGAGAGACTGGATACGCCTTTGCTGATCGTTTTGTCCACCGTGGCCAAGCCTTCGATTAGGTCTGATGGTCGCAATTGGTACCACCTACGGGGTTGAGATATTACTCTATGCGCGATACACGTATCCCCGGCCTCCTTTTTTCCCCTCGCGAAGATCAAAAGATAACGAACGAACGAACGAACGAGTTTCAACGGTTTGCTCGTGTCTTCTCCACCCTATCTCTCTTTCTCTCTCTCTCTCTCTTTCTCTTCTTTCAACGGGGGCCTCTCTTGGTCACGTCCGATTAATTTCGAGTTATTCCGCGCTGGTACGTTATCCTCTCTCTCTGTCACTGAAAGTAGCTCAATCTCCTCTCTGATTAATTTCCAGATGGGAATACGTGATATATATATTATAATAGGCAGAGTGATATATCTGTCGTGTCTGGGTGAAGATAATGTCACGTATCCTCGTGCGAAAATTCGTCGCGATTGAGCCAGTTTTAATGGTAGAGAGGGGAGGGGAGGGAGGTTACTCGAAGACGTATTCCATTCTTTCCTTTCTTTTCATTTAAGAACCTTCTTCTGGTCACGATTGATTAATTTCGAGTTATTACAAAGAATCACGATCGAGAGATTAGTTATCGTTCTGGTTTCGTCCTTACTTGCAGTCCTGGCTCTGCTTGGGAATGGTATTATATCCACGATATCCGAGTTATTTTTTTATTCTTCGATCGTAATGGCCAGTTTCTCACGGAAGAGAGAGAGAGGCCGTCTTTGTTTATCTAAGAAACTTGAATTCAGATTTTTTTGTTTTGTTTTAAGCAGTTAAGATATTTTTAAGCAAGGATTAATATTCTGAAAACGAATAAAAAGTTTATCGTTACGAGTTTCACGTGGTCGTCGATGTACGTTTAGAGGGTAATTTTAACTAGATATTATGGTTCCAGATCTTCGTCGGATTGCTTCTTACTTCCAGGCTCAGGTTAGATTAGATCGAACTAATCCCTTTTTTATTGTAATTTCTATCGTAAATATTCTTGCCTCTAATTGTATTTGTCGAAGCCGAAATGCTCTATTTTGTATCTATATTAAGTCGTTTATAACTCTAATACAAATAATTAATAATATTCCATTTGACATTTATATTGATAAGGAATTTGTTTCCAATTAATTTTAAATTATGCAAATTTTCTCTTTATTTGTTTATTGTTTTATAATCGTATCTGATAGTTTATTCATAACCATTTATTATTTTCAAAATTTCAGATGATAAACCGATAAAAATTAAAATTAAAAACTCTTATCATCGAACAAGAAAAATTCTATTTTATAGATAAAAATAAATAACTTTGTCTCAAAAATATATAATTTACCTTCTAGATCTAATAAATACCTTCCAAGCTTCTTTTTCTATAAAAGAAAGTAAATAAAAATCGTTATCCTAATCGCTACGAGTTCCGCGTATACATAAATTCATCCGTGCACTTGGCACATTATCTGCGTAACGCACATTCACAAAGCTAATCATTTCTCGATATTACAACTCCGCGCTCGAAAAATCTTCTTTTTTCGCTTCCTATCGTTTCCTTACGTTCGAGAAGCTCGCTTGCTTCGGGTTTATTCTCGAATTATTCTCGATAATTACGTAATACATTGCAACATTCGCAACCCATTTCGCCTGATGATGTACAATTTATTATCTTCGTGGTAAATATGTAATATGTGTAACAGAAAATGGACGTGCGGTTATCGGCTCGATGTGTACAGTAATTCGATCATCATTTTCCCTTGGATTAACAGCGAAATTCCAGACTAATGCGACCTAGGCAAAACTTTATGATATTAATAATTGCGGATTTCTGTATCGTATCAACGGCCGGCTAATCTTTTCCTCTCACCGTGGCTCACCGTCTTAGAAACCGGAAGGTTAACTATCTTCCTCGAATTCATCATTGAATATCTCGTAAAATTTTCTCCGCTCAACGGATCGAATCGTTTCGTAGAATGTTCCGCGCGAGAATCAAGGTCGTTACACGTATACGTTCATTAAATTCATTTAATAATTTCAAGTAAAATTTTGTGGTAATCCGATGTGCCAATGAATCTTTTAAATTGAAACAAAATTGAAAATGAAATGTATCTATGAAATTATTTGGCGATAAAGTAAAATGGCAGTTACTATATCAATTACGTTTCTATTTGAATTCTAATTAGTTGTCTATAATTAACAAGAAACAATGGAGCATATGTTATTTGAATTTGTTACAAGAGCAAATTAAAATCAAATTAACAAATTCTTTGATTTAATTAAGATTATATTTTTTATATGGTTATGATTTTTTCAATTGGTAGTACAGAGAGCGATCTGGTACTTTTACTCATACTTTCTATTTCTATCTATGACGAGTATATGCAGTTTGATATGATAATTGACGTGACAAGTCAGACTCATTTGAAATCAAAAGATTAAAAAGTTAATTTAAAATGTTATATATATTGACGAAAAAGATATTGAACAAACTCTGATTTTAAAAAATATTTACAAATTACAAATAAAAAATTGAAACTTGTATTTTGTTTTAATAGGTTAAGAGAAAAATCACGAAATCTCGTTGATTGTCCCAAATTTAAAATTCAGAGCATGATTTTCAAATTGAAATATGCTCGATCGAGCGTAACATCGAATAGAATCAGGAAATATCGAATATTTGATTTCGCTGGCCTCGATAAATCAATTAAAGTCGCTTCAGTAACGGTCACTATCGAGTGCTGTTCGACCGGTAAAACAGTTTGTATAAAACGGTTGGAACACGTAACGATCCGCGTTAATTGAGGCAACACGAAACGACGGTCGACATAATGAAATTGAAGCTGGAAACGCGAACAACGACATCGTATAAATTGCAGAGCGGTTGCGTATACTGTGTACTCGTGACATTAAAATTGCAAATGATAATACAGTTCTCGTTACTGGTCAAAGAAGATAGCTCGTTACGGTAAATTAAAGGCAAAAAATAAACGAGAGAGTCGAGAAAAATGAATTTCGTGCCGCGATTTTTTATCGTTTTTTATCATAGATATCTTCATGATACGCTCTTTACATGGCGACATGATAATATAATACTTTTTCAATTTCACGTATTCGACCGTCAATCGTACTTTGCTTTATTTCTACTACTCGATACAACCAAGAAAAACAATCGAATAATTATCGCGTATACAAACTTTAACGACTACAGTTTATACTACACATTCAACTCATCGCTTTTGCTTATTAGAGGTTAAATGTGGAATAGATTTGGATACAAAAGTAATAATATTACTATATTACAAGTAAAAATCTTTCGATTTTCTTCATTATAAATTTAATTCAATCTTAAAAGATAATAATCTATTTAGAAGGTAATAATTCTAGAATTTCTCACCTTTCCATTTTATTCAAATTTCTCACACTTTACATATCACTCACACACACGTTAAAGTTACTTCTTACTTTTCACAATTGATTTCGCATTTAACTTAGATACACCATGCTAAGAAATATATTCCTCGTAGAAAGAGGGAAATCATAATCGTGATAATACCTACTTTTCCTATAAATATCCTAATGCTCGGCGTCAAATATCCAATAATTATCCCGTCCTCCATCTTACTGCTTGTCACGACAAAAATTACAAGTTTCCTAGCGAACGACTTGAACGTGGCTACTCGTCAAAGTCGTTTTTCTCACGCAGCAAACTTCAGAAGCTGCCTGTTCAGTTACGATTACGAAAATTTTCAAGATGGCTTCGTTCGATTTGAATTATTCCGTTTCTCCATGGTGCTTGTACGTTTTTAATAGACCAGTTTTAATCGTGAACAACTTCTCGATAATAAATCTTCTTGTAATTAGAATCAGTGCTTTAACTAGGAATTGTTAGTGTCGTGAAAACATCCAAATCAAAGATTGATTAAATCGAACTATGTGTTTAATTGATTCCTCGTGCACGTTTCGTTTACGACAAACTTTCTCGACGCGAATTTTTCGATCGGCACAATGTTCAGTTACCAATGTTGGTTAGTGTAATCATTTTGTTAAAGTGCTATGCTTTAGGTTATAGTTATCGCGATAATTCTTCTTTCGTTCTCAACACTTTCGCTTAAGCCAGTTTTTCCCAGTGCAATTTTGTTTCTGTAATACGATACCGTTATTACTGCCATGGACAAAATGTTTCTTATTTTGTTGTATTGAGAAAATTACAGTTACTTTTTCTATTGGAGAGTATAAATTATAATGTTATATATTATTTTAAATTTTTATTGCGCAAAAATGAAATTACAGTAGTTCATTGTCATAAACGAAATAGGTTATGTTCTGATTTTTTGAAAGAGCAACGAATTAATATCAGGTTAAAAATATATTTAAAAGATTAATATACACTATGTAAAAAATGTTTTAAAGTTTTTTCTTTTAATTTGATATTAATTTCTTATTTCTTTAAAAAAAAAACCGTGAGAATTTTCTTTTAACGATAAATCACAATAATTACGATAATATTCGTAACATTTGAACTAATAACAAAAAACATTATGAATTATATTATGGCCTAATAGAAAATATTGTTTAAGAGTATTCATAAGAAAAAAAAAGGCCTACGAACCTTTTATAATATTTAATATGTGACAATATTTAGTAACAGTAGTATTCATTAGTGATTTTAACTCGCATCTCTTTATCATAAGAGAAAGAGAAGGGAAAAAGTGTTCGAGCGTGTAATTATTTGTCCGTTAATGGTATAGTTTGTATGTGTATCGTACAGGTAAAGTAGTTCGGAGAAGCAGCATCCAAAGTAGTAATCCTTCATCCTAAGTATCATGCTGAGTTTCTGATCCTTGTCGACGAGCCCTCTGCATGCAACCCACATGAGTGGTGACCAGCAAGACCGATCGCTTCTATGTAAAATAAGTAAGTACTTATGTATACCTTTGTGAATGCTTTTATGTATTAGAGGATCGTGCATATATATATCACTAACATTAATAAGATTAGGAATTCAAAAATACCTAAGATTCCAAAATTTGTACCTTTATATTATCTGATATTATTAACATTGTTATAAATAATTTGTTTTCTGTGAATTTTTAATATATTCTTAGTAGCTAAAGATTTTAATTAATCGTAGATATGTTTAATTTATCAATTGCATTTTATCATAAACAATTTTTTATGAAATATAAATTAATATAATCAATCATCATTTACAAACTTCTTATCATCAAACATTATTAACAAATCTGATTTCTCTTTTTTTGTACCACTCTTTTCGTTTATATCACCAATCGAATAAACCAAGAAATTCGATTTCCCTGCGCTTATTGAAATAGCAAATAACTAAACTCATGTGTTTATATTATACGGAAAAGAGTTGATTTGCCAAACACTTTGAAACGTTTCAACTTCGCATACAAGTCGACGTATTAAATATCACAGCCTATTCTATGGTTTTAACATGCTGCTTTCCGCCTACAAATCCACGTTTTCTAAACTTGCTTCTAACAACTCTTACAAAAAAAAAAAATCGCTGAAACGAGGCAATGACCGCATCCTATTCCTTTGGACGGGTTTATATTCGATCTTGAATTAAATTATTACCCTTTCTTAGTTGGATAACCGCGAGAGGTTTAGCGCCGTAGGAAGGAGGGAACAAGTCGCGTGGAAAATTATGTGTGCGCATACAGGATTCGAGTCCCGCTAATGGATAGAAACATAATTTCAGAGCGATTCTTTTCTTGTAACGCGTATACAAAACAAAAATTTGGCCTTTCTTCGCTTAAATTTTTCGATCCAAAATTAAATTATCATTCAAATGATATTCGTACTATGTCAATTTCGTTCGTTTACAAAGCAATACCTAGTGAACATAACTCGTGTACATGTTCGTGTACATATAAGCACATAGAGTTTGATTTACTCGCGTAAACGTAATTGATGAAGCGTATTGAATATTGAATTTAATTATTTATCAATTAGAAAACACGTGCAACGTTTTTGAAATTAAACGGAGAGGAAGATAGGACAGATAATTTGTGTTATAGGATATCATACTAAGTCCCATGAAAAGCAAGATCGTCAGGATCTCGAGGAAGACGTCTCGAGGAAGATCCTCGTCGAGGGTAGCACTTTGTTAAGCGAAATCCAAAGCCTCGTCCTATTCGATTTTATATTATACAAAGTTGGCGTGTATGATTTTTTTTTTTTTTTTTCAATCACCATTATATATGTTCGCGTATACCTCGCGGTGTTATTAGCAGGCTATCTGTTCAAGTATCTATGGGGCATGAACATTTTCTGCGGGATCTGTCAATTATACAGATTTATGATCCCTTCTCCTCCTCTCCCCCTTCCTTCACCGTTTGCCAAGGTTTGCCATTTGCGGCCATTCCTGCCGCGGTTTTCTTCGAATACATCCACGACACCCACAAGTGGACGGGTGGAACATCGTTTCGCGTTTGTTTGCCGGATAGGAGAAAGAAACACGGATGACTGATTAACGATCGTCGTTAATCGTTGGCTACTTCGGTTACGGTTGGGCTGTGACTCCCCACTTGAGAGTAAAACTCGCGCTAGTCGCCCTTCCGAGAGCGTTTTCTCGGAAATTACTGTCCCCATGCGATGTCCGTTTGTGAAAAATAACCCTCGAGATTAACTCTGTCCTCAAATAGATCCTCGCGTTTCTAAAGACAAGGATACGTTTGAATAAGTACTCTCGACTCGAGTTGGTCTACGTTTATTTTTTTTTTTCTTTTTTTTTTCTTTTTTTTCGTTGGAGCTAAGAGCTTGCGTCGAGAATAGGATGTTGGACAGTACTTTCATTCATTCGATCCGATGTCTGTTGATTCATCCTCAATCCTTTTGTTGAAATAACGTATTGATCGAGAAATTTTTATGTATCCTTCTCGCGTGTGTAAATACGTTATTGCAAATGCGATATCAAAATAATTTTGTTTTGAAAAATTTAATTCGATATATATGAAGTTTTAAATATAGAGAATTCGTAATTACAATTTATTACAATCTTTACGATTAAAAAATTAGGAAAGAATAAAACAAAGTCTCTCCTCGTCTTTGCGATATTTTTAATAAATTCGTTTATTGAAAAATTTAATTGTACGCGAAACTGACTGATTGAAATCGATTTTAGTTGCTTCTCCTCAAGCTTCGATTAGTTTAATTAGCAAAATTGTCAGGAATTAGAGGGGATTAACGAAATGGGGAATATCTTCGGCGCGAAGGCCGTGACGAAATTGATGCGGAAACTGTTGGTGATCCGCAGTGATGCGATACGTATCGAGCATATTTTTTTGATCACGGTTTATGCATTATTTGCATAATTACGATGAACGAAAGAAATTTTAGAAAAATAAGTAAAAAAGTTCTGAGATCCACGTGTAAGAACGGTTTATTATGTATAACTCGGGGGAGGGTCAACGACACGGCCTTGAAGAGGCAGCTCTTCGCGACCTTGAAGTGACCTTGACTTGAGAGAGTACTGTCCTCCGTGGTTTTCAAATGGTGTTTATTTTTCCCGTTCTACGAATACGTGGATAAATCGATATATTATTTATTTTTCTCATAAATATTTTTTAATTAAATCGGTGCAATTTCGTCTTTTTGAATTTTTACTTATTGCATTTATTGGATTAAGCGATCAAGTTTTATCGTTTATTATTATATTTCGATATGATCATAGAAGAAGTAGAATCTGATGAGGAAACATTTTATAAATACTTTTTATTATTTCACATTTACGGCTGAGCTTTCGAATACAACTCATAGAATTTATTCGTCTGTACTTATTCAAGTATTTATTTAGATTCAAAAGGCTAAAAGCAAATTTTCTTATCTCATCCTAATATATAATTCCAAGTTATTAAGAGGAAATAACCATCGATATTTTTGCAACTTACCGTTCAATATTCTCCAGACCAGGAAGAAGCAGATGATCTTAAAGAATGTAGATCGAAATAACATTATCGAAATTGTTATTTCGAATTCGATAATTGGATTTGCAATTATTCTCTTTTTTTATTTTTTGCATTTTTAATCTTTACAATATCAGGATTAAAAGGGGTATAATCGTATCTTACTACAATCTTAAATTTTAAAACAATTATATTTTTAAAATAGATATCGCGTACAAAGTAAATTAAAAAATTAATTCATTAAGCATTTTAGAGAAAATATTTCATCAAAATCCATTTGTACAAACGTAAACTCACATTGATTGGAATATTAATAGTTGGAAATATTAATAGTTATTAGATAAAAAAATTAGAACAACGGATATATTTATCTCTCGATATAAATTCATATAAATAGAATTCTACGTTGTTAAACACACCTGTTTAACTATGTATACGAGTTTATTTTAATTAATTCCTCGACGAGAATAATCGTACAATTTTTTCGTCCTTGATAGGAATGTTGTGGAAGCGAGTAATTTCAGAAGGGAGTGGCAATTAACTAGGCGCGATCTCGCATGTTGCCGAGGGTGTGTACGCGTGTAGTTGTTCGCAATGTGCGTGCGTTAATAACGTTAGAAATGGCGACTCTGCTCGTTTTCCATCGCGGCCGCGTTCCGTCGACGTGCAAAATGAACGGAAGATACTAATTAGCTTGGAACGCGAAACTCTTGTCTTGCTTCTTCTTCGGTTTCGTCTTATTATCTTCTCGTCACTTGTGAACGAAGGAACTAATCGGGAATATTTCAGAAAATCACTTGACCAACTTACGTTACGCGTTACGTGTGTGTGTGCGACACGCGATAATTATTCGAGCGTATAATAAAAACGATGATTAAATTTTAATGCGATTGAAGAAGAAACTGTCCATAAGAGAGTCCACGCTTAAGAGTTCTATTGACACTCATAACGGCCTACAAAACGGCTATAACCTTCTTCTAAATATCTTAAAAACGTTTATTGATAACACTTTTACGTTTCGTAAAATTTACAACAGTTAAATGGTTTTATATATAATATAAAATATAAAATATTAAATATAAAATATATAATATTTGGTTATATATTTATATATAATATATATGATAATAATTATATTATATATAATATAAATGGTTATATATTTTTATGGAGTAGAGTTATAAATGGATATTCTTGTTCCTTACGTAAATATAAGTAATTTTGCTGATAGGATATTCATTCGTTTCTTTTTTTCACTGAATCTGAGAAGATTCTAACAAGAATCAAATTCTTTGAAGTCAAACTCTTTGAAGATAGAATAATACATAAATTAATATTATTAGAATTATATATATTATTTCTCGAATAAAAGTTTCTATTAAAAATAAAAAAAAAATTTTTTTTAAAGGAATGACTTATTTATTGACTGACTCGAACTGTAAAAAAAAAAAAAAAAAAAGAAAGGCGAATCTTTAATCATTTTACCTCAAAAATATAGAAATTTTATTAATTTTATTAATACTAGACATAAATGGAAAATTTTTGTTAGAAATCGCGAATAGTAAGTGTACTTACTTACGTTTCGTTCCGCACGAGTCGAAATAAAATCGACAGCGAATAAAAGACGACGAGTTAACGACGTTTTTTTCCCTCCCTCTACGACGCATTGAAACCAGTAATGAAACTCGGGTTTTTCGCTTCAATTTGTCTTCCCGCTCGGCACGCGTACCCGCCACGAGAAACTTGATTAACGAAACCTCTTCGCCCCGCGAATTTAATGGGATTACGTTCGAGAATCTCGTTACATTTTCATCGAACTTGCTCCTCGCGGTTTTTGCGCCCATTATTCACGAGTCCAAACAGATATGAGGTTTTCGAGACGAGAGATACGATCTAAGATGCACAACAATATAATTGGCGCGAGACCTTGGAATCGATTCCTCCAAGATGATCAAACGAAAGAAATAGGATTTTGTACGATGTATTTTTTTTTTTTCTTTCGATAAATAATTGAATATTTAATCTTCATTTGGAAAAAAGGACTTAAGTTTTTTTGAAAAAGTCTTTGAAGAAAGATTCAGATTATTGAATATAATTTATTTGAACGCATCATTATTGAAAACGTGTAGAGTGTTTTTTAGGATTAGTTAATTCCTAGAGATGAATTAGCTGTTATGTTTTTAAATTGGATATTGTGACGGAATCATTAGAATTATTTCATCTTGTTATAGCTTAATAAGTAAAGCCTCGACGGTCTTATAACTGATACGTCATATTCACACAATCATATTTTTATTTATTCACGAATCGTTTCATTTATTTAACTAATTAAAGATCGATTGAAGAACACCCTGCATCTGTATCCAATTTGTTAGATATAAGATACGAGAAAGATTCATGTATAAGATTCTGTAATTAAATAAAAAAAAAGAAACTAATAGAGTATGCGGCGTTAAACGGAGGAAGTGGAAATTCAGGTATTTAGGGACGACCTCCTGCGGTCCTCCGTTTCTTCTTTAACCACGGTTCGTCGGTTTCGAACAATGTTCGCGGAAATAGCACGACGGGTCATCGTCTGGTGCGAGGCCAGGCTTGGGAATATAACCGAAAGGAAGAAGAGGGTAGAATAGCGAGACGAATGCTTTAAAGACAGATATCGTTATTCATCTATAAAATCTCGAGTGTTCTTTTAATTTCTCTAAATTTGGATTAAGAGGAGACTTAAAGGAATTCGTGTCGATAAAATTTCGCGTGATGATACGCGTTCACATTGCTACGAGGAAGCGGAGGTCTTGGAGGTACTTCTATGGAGACGCATGTAAGTGTACTTAATGATGCTTGTCTGGCGCTGATCAAACGTTGTGCAGTTATATAATGGACGATTTTAATTAGGTTTAGAAGAGGAACTTAGGTTTAATTATTATTGTTAATATGATTATCCTGTTTAGAATATTTTAAAAATCTTATTTTATTATTCTTTAAAAGTATATATATATATAATAAGAACTCGTATAATTCAATTAATATTAGCGCCATATAACAAGAGAAAAATAGGTTAAATGAATAATCGAGATAAATAATGAAGACGGATAATGATAATAATTTCGGATAATCGAATCGTCTCTGGGTCGGTTAACGGTAATAAGGGGCTGCAATGCACGCTTCTGATATATATTAAATAAAGAATCTGATCGATAAAGAATTATTCAGCCGTTGGAATTCTTCTCGCTATAATAGAAACGTTACACTCGCGAACATTTCGATACCGTTAAACTTTTGATCATCGCGTTTAATTGGCGTCCATTTTGAATTAATCGCTGCGGTTTTGCAGCGGAATAACGCGATTGACACGGCGGAAACAGGGGCTTCCTTCGTCCATTTCCGCATAATCCGGGGATATATTTTTTCGTAGACGTTCCATTCGTGATTGTTTCGTGAAAATATGCGCTCACAGATGGATGCGCGTTAACGGTTGTTCTCCACTCGTGGAAGCGAGTGAAAAAAAATATCGGCTCGACGATTCCCGACCAACGATTCTGACAGATGGACAGGCTTGGTCGTTACTCATCCACTTATTGAAGTGTCTGGAATTGTGATGCGTTTCTAGGGTGTACGGTACCCGGTTCAAAATCAAAACATCTCCATCCGTTGCCACAATGCCGCTCCTTGCATTCTTCCATCAAATATCTTTCGGCTTAGCTGAAGGCGTTTCAAGTCTGTCTTTGTCCGAGGCAAGTCACGAGAGTGTCCTGGAGTGTCTTACTCCAGCACCAGGGCTCGAGAAAATAGATTTTTTTTTTGAAATAGAAATAAATATTGCCCTTTCTTCGAGGTATGATACGGTGAATTTTACATATGAACCTTTTCTTTTCTTCTTTGAAACATTAATTGCATAAAGAGACAATATTTCAAATATATATTCAAATATAATTCATCTGTTTTCGAAAATAATTTCGAAATGGATAATTCTCATTGGGGTACGAGAATATTTCAAATAACCAATTTTTTAATTCTAAAATTATTGGATATAGATGCATTGAACTCTTGTATATCGATCTTCAAGAGATAAGAAGTAAAATATAATATGGAAATAAGGATAAGAACGCCTCGTCGTGGAAATTATCGTTAAACACATTGGATAGATACAAATAATATTTTCTACTATTCGTTCAAATTTCTGCAAACTGTGCGCAAATATAACGCGTCGTATAGCGTGCTCACGCACAATTTTCCAAGGCGTAGACGCGCACGCAAGGCGCTCTTCTTCGCATGATCCCACGCGCGAACAATCGAGTCAAAGCGCACAGGCAAACACGAGGCGCATAACTATGAGCATTATGAAAAATGGAGCAATTGCTGGTTCGCGCGATCCTGATCAAGCTGGCGTTATGCTTGCGTGGTTAATTCGTAATAATCAAAAGTAATGAGAAAGCGAAACAATAACCTTGTGTTAATAATTATCGTAATAATTATAAAATACTTTAAAAATTTTTCTTTCCCTTTGAGCTTCCATCATTATTCATTCTTAAATAATTTTTATATATCCTTGCGGTTTTGAGAATCAATTATTTCGATGATACGCTACAGATTAATTAACATGCGTAATTGAACGATCTCAGTTTCGCGTGGCGCAAAACTTAATTTCGCATCACAGACCCTTGTCCGACCACTTCCGACCGCGCCAAAGATTAAAACGACCGCGGGATTTTTGTGGAAAGTGGATCTGCAAGTTTCGAGTCGCGCAAGGTCGTCCCAGGACATCTTAAATAACGGAATTCTATTCTTTATTCCGGGTTTCTATCCCCTTATCTTCGTGTATACCGCAACTGGATGGGAACTACTGCTATTCATCGCCTCGAATTATCCGCAACAATCCACGATCGAATCGCGAGAGAAACTTATTATATACGTGAGAGCGAGAGAGAGGGAAAAAAGAATCTTGTAAAGAGAGAAGATGAAAATACGAGATATTATTTTTCTTTCATATAAGAAATCTTAAGGAAACGGTTATAAGTAAAAGAAAGAAGAAAAAAGTAGAAGAAATCGAATGGATAATTTTAGAAAATTTGTGACAATGTGATACAAGTGTCGGATAAGGCGACACGATCTATAAATAACAAGTATTTTGCAAAAACTTGTACAAATGAGTCGATCAAATTTTAGGAAAAAAGATCGAACGATATTTATAAGAACCGTAGATACGTAGGTACATAACCTTAAACATGGCGTTAACGCGATATTATACAAGGTTAAAGATCCCATTACTATATATATATATATATATATATATATATAGATCTGAAACTTTGTGTCTCCTATCTCCCTTTTATATCCAATATTACCCAGGCAACTTGTTACCGCGAATAATGGCCAGGTTTGATGGTAATGATACTTAAACGCTCATTGGAATGGAAGTCGATGGCGCGCCCTCGCCTCGGTACGCGGCCACTGTATAATCCATTAGTTTCTTGCGTGAACAGTGGCAAAAAAGCAATGCAATATTTCAAAACTCCCGTCCCGGAATTAACTGTACTCGTTCATGGTCGGTTATAGCCAGTAGCAGGTGGAAATGATATTTTTAGTCGAAGCGCTATTTTTTTTTTTTAACCATATATTCTCTTTCGATATTTTGATCGAAATTTCAAGAAGGTCAGCTTTTTATTTGGTCGTCGAATTTTTTATTTTTTATCGTGGAACGTTGTTAACCCGATTTTTAAGGTGAAAATTGATGTTTAATTTATTTCTAATCAACGAATGAAACGCAGAAATGAAGAATATTCATCACCGGGAAGATGACTTAAAAAGTTGCAGAAAACAGAAAAAAGCAATTATTTTGAGTGAAAAACACGTTTCACTTTTTGCACGCTTAACAAATTAATAAACTTCACACGAAAATCTATCCATCTCTGTAAAATGAATAGCATAATATTAATTATTAACAATGTCTACGAATACCTTATATAAAATATTTATGAAAATCAAATTACTCGAAAATACAGTTTCATGTTATTTAACATTTAATATATTATTATTATTATTTAGAAACTTGATCGAATAGATATAATAGATTCTTTCAAATTGAAACGTTTCATTCTTGCAAACGTTTCTTCTTACTCGATGCACTTTGCACGCAATGATATACCGTTCGTTTCATCACCTCGGATGAAATAAACGTCTTCCTTTTACCCCTTTATATATATATGTATATATATATATATATATATATATATATATTTGTCGTATTCCTGTTACTCGCAATTGTTTGATAAATCGTGACTATGTATAATTGACCATTCTTCGATAGACGGCCAAGTCATGAAATCATACGTGTAATTTCATAGCGATCCTCTCTTCTTCTCGAAACATCGATTCACTCCCCGAGTCACGCATGGATTTCACGTTCATCGACCAGGGAAAACGTATCATTAGATCGCGGAAATTAGTGGTTGGTAGGTAACGCAAAGGATGTCTGTATGTGGTGCAAAAACATCACTTGAGAAAGAAATCGATTGAAGCCCAAAAGAAGCGATTGAATGTGCTGGTTGTACACTATTGCTCAAAAAGTACATGGAAATCCTGTTTATTTCAAATAAATAACGTGTAATCTTGAAATATATTGGAAGAATTTGAAATTATTTTATTGTGATATTTATACATAATATAAGATAAAAATGTATCGATAACGGTGGAAAATTTTGTTTTGTTTGAAAAGTTGTATTTTTTTTTTTTTTAGCTTTGTTAAATTTATCAATCATAAGTTCTTTCTATTTTTCTTCTCTCTTTTTATAACGTAATATTATTTATATATTATTATTATAGTAGAGTATTGAAACGAAATCTTTCTTGAAATTTTTCTGTCCATGATAAATACTCATATTTTATGCAAGTGTTACAGGTTGAAATTTCGACTTAATTCCAGAGCACAAAAATTATTCGAAGAGGATGCGTAGCGAAGAAAGGATTAAAAATCGCTGATTCAGACTATAGATTTTAAAAGATCATCGTGGTTACGAAGAAATGTCCAGTTATTCTTGTTTTCAATTATCCGTACGTTACTTTTATATTCGCTGTAATATCTTTACAAACGAAACATCAATTTACCTTAAAATTACACAAAACTACATATTCATCATTCCAATTTATAAAATCTAGACATTTATTTAAAACCTATCCAAAACTGCTAAATAAAAAATTACATACATATCGCATAATTCCCTCTTTATTTCAGTTTTCTCACGTAAGCCAGGTGGTCGAAGAGGAAGCGAGAAGAAAAAGAAGAAGAAGAAGAAAAATACGTACACACCAGTAGCAACGACTTGGTCATTCGAATACCTGTGTTGGCACGTCAACTGCGCGTGTTAAAGCGCGACAACGAAGAATGAAAAAGAACAGCTGGAACAGTCACGGGCCAACAATTAGAATACCCCTTCACGGATACTCGATATTCTACTGAAAATGTACGCGTGGACCAATCGTGACACGCGTGCACAATTTTCCTAACCACGCTCCGCGAAAGTCCAAATCCTTTTCTCAACAGGATTGTACACAGAAGTGCAATATTGGATTCTGTTTTTCCGTTGTCTCGCGTGGACGAACAAACAGTACGCGGAGCTACTTGGAATGCCGGGTCACGACTCGAAATACGAGATGTCGTGTAGGTATGTGGCGAAATGTGGTGGTCGGTTTTTATTTCGCTGGCGATCGCGGCTGGCACGATAACGTGATTCCAACCGGCGCCTATGAAATCGAAAGATGAGCATTGGTGGATAACGGGACACGGAGAATGCTTGCGCACTTTCGATCAGGGCGAATTCAAAATTCTAGATGGGGTTTAGAGATTTCGCGGAATTGCTGTCTATATTGTTTGACCACCCGCCACTTCTTGGAAACACTTCGTGTATAATTGCGTTTGTATTGGGATATTTGTAAAAAATGAAATTATTGGAATGTTATAATTAAAATATTGTTAGGAAAATATATAATATATTTTATGTTCTTTTCAAGTATGTATATATCTGTGTATATATTTGATAATTATAAAATCAATTGATCAATTATTTAGTTAGGTTTGTTAAAGTTTTATGTATATATGTACGTATAATTTTGAGTGAGTTATGAGAAAAATATTAGCCTTTTGTAAGGCATATTTGATCGAACAACAAAAGTTATAAAAATCTTGAGAGTATTATTGTAAAAATTTATGTATTCAAAATGCCAAAGAGATATCTAAAGATATGTACATTAACTATATAAAGTATGCATATAAAGAAAATAAAAGAAATTCAGATATCATAATCAGACTAATAATCACTAAAATCTTTCATATAAATATAATATAAATCATAATGGTATGGATGATCACGTGCTGTTATTATATAATCTCATGAATACGTGTTAACACCTTGTATATTCTGTATTCGATTAATTGGTCGTATACTAAATAATAATCAATGTTTTATTGTAATCTTATATGGATCAAATAACTACAACGTAATTACACCGTGTCTCTGTTCAAGATCTAGATTCAGAGATCAGACTTTTCGTTAAACCACGCCCGCAATTTTGTCCTCAAAACGAAAAAGATCCAAGAATCTGAATACCACCGCGCCCATTATGGATCTAAATAAACGCGAGAGAACAGAGGCAAGGAAAATCGTTGATCACGCCGATTTTACGAGACTTGAAGTATCTCTGGTATCGACGGAAAAAACGCAGCGCCCGAATGCGTATAAACTGCGTCCAGATAACTGTATAAGTTGGCTCGAATATAGGCCAGTCGTTTCGTGTCGACGAACGCGATTCCGCGCCACGATTTCCGCGTTTTCCGCTTTCTGTTTGCTCGTATTCAGCATTCGAATCCTCCCACGTATCTCACTTTTATCACTAAAACTGCTCAGAAGACGATAAAATCGCTTACAGACTGGAATGATATGTATGCAAGCAATTTATATCAACATAGAGAGTAGGTTGAATTGTATTTCAACGATTTAATGACGGAACACCGATATAAGATCCTAGATACATATTGGATGCTGAAAGAAGATTGTGAATTTATATTGGATTAGTGTATAAAAAAAAAAATAATGTTTTTTTCGAAATATCATAAATTATATATAATTCTATCCTATTTTATTTTTTAACCTCTTAAGAAACAAAATATTTTATTTATTGGTTAGTAATAAATAACTGTTTAGTTTTATTATTTTAAATTGACAAGAACAGTTAAGTTAATGAATCCATTTTACATATTTTTTTGTTTATTGATTGTTTTAAAGTGATTTATTATATAAAAAGTTTGTAAAAATTAATGTATTTTATTGTGAAATTATGTATTTTCAATAATTTTTAAACACTTTTTGCGTATGATTTTACGTAATATAAATTTATAGTTAATTTATTTGAAGAAATTTTCACAAAATGAAATCGAAGCTTGAGGAATGGTTTTCGAACTGTGAAGTGCTAAAATTGCAACAGGTGTATTTTGAAATTGGCAATGAAATTGAAAATGATATTGAAAGTTCAAGAGACAATGTTTCACACCATGAACGAAGTAGTGAAATTGCAACAGGTGCATGATGTGATTGGACGATGTTTTCCAGACAGCAATTAAAACATAACAGAATCGTAAAAATCGTTCAATGCAAACATGCCAAATTGCTCATGAACAATTTATATATTTATAATTTACAATATATTTTTCATAACTTTCTAGCGATCGTTCCTAGCAATCTGTACACGGATTAAAGAAATAACTTGCATGGGAATGCCTGAATCGGTATTGTGGATCAAGATTATAGAACAATTGGAACAGGAATTTCACCATGACTCACCATGATTAGCTGCAACGCCCTCTTCGTTACAATGCATATTTATCGCCGCCATTTTTAGATAGTTCGAACGGACATTTTTATCGAAACGATTACTATTATGATCAATTTGCCTTTGATTTTTATGGATCGAAGATATTTCGTTTGCGGTTATTGGGATATCGTGCCATCTGATTATAACTCGATTGAATCGATCGTTTCGGTTTATGAGCTTTGCGCGAATTCGTAAAACTTCGAAATAACACGTTAATCATACCATATTATTTGTATATATACAATGAGGAATCAAGATGATGACAATCATCGAATTGGATTTTGAAATTTATTACAAGCTTTATAAATTTATTTTCATCGTTCCAATATCGTGACATTTACTAAATGATGATCGAGAGTGAAATAATACTTTCGACAAATAACGAATAAACGAAACTTCGTGTTTACGATTCGATTTTGTGTAAGTGTTAATTGGAAGAATAATATTTCTTGTAAGTACATTTTATGAATTATTTATTCATTATGATGTGCCAATATAATTTGTAAAATAATCGAGTTTTTTTTTTAATGGTACAAACCATGATGACAATTATTGCGTAAATTCGATATAATTTTATCAGTGGGATTGATATATTTTCATATATCATAATATTTCGTTTATAAAAATATGAAATATTATTTGTTATATGAAATAATATTTGATTTTAAAATTGAATTTTAAACATGCAAGACATGAACAATAGAACAATAAAATTTATCGTTATATTGAATATACATAAATCTATAATAAATGAATTTGATTCTATCATTTTATAATTTTTATCAAATTATTTATTTATAGAAGAGAAATAAATATTTCGATAACAGACAAATAAATTAAAATTTGCAAGAACACTTTGCGAAATTGAAATAATTGAATAATGCTTGATCCTACTGTTTAATTATATTTTGTTTCCATGATTATGATACAAATACTGTTATGTATGATATGTTTCTCTTTATTATCTTATAGAATTAATTTCTCCAGATTTATCGACTAGATTTATCGACTAGATTGAATATCCGAATATTACGAATCAAAAGACAAGATTTAGTATTGATGATTAAAACTCGTCGAACGGATGTAATATTATTGAAAATAAAACTGATCTTGTTAATCGAGGATTGCTATTACACGTTTCATAAAATAAATTTACTGCTATATTGATTTCTATGTAAGATCTTTTAAGCAACAAATAAATTTCACGATCGAGTATGGATCACCTCTTTCGTCATATTCTAACCTCAATTTTCTCCGCTTGTTTACTTCCTCTTGCGATCCACTCTATTAACCTCCTTTATCGACATGATACTTGTCGACTTGTTTTGTTTAATTAATAGATGATATTTTAGTAAAACAGGATATCGGGAAAAAAATTAAATTAAAAATAGAATGATGAATGTTGTTCAAATATGTTTTTATTCAGAGTAATTAAATAATATAGAACAATTAATTAGGCTAATACAATCATATCTCTGTTAACAAATAAAACAAATGAATTTCATTTATGGCATTATCATCATCATTTAGTAATATGTAGTTAACAGAATATTTATGCAATATTTCTAAATAATATTTTTTTTAACTTGTACTAAATACTCAATATATTAGTATCCGTAATTTATCAAATGGATATTGAAATATTTTGTAATTAAAATTCTATTACAATTGTACAGTACGGTTCTAACAGTTTCAATTTTTTTTTTTATCAATAACTTGGATATTATTTGTAAATTACTATGATTCAATCAAATCAGATAGTCATATAAAATTTCAATATAAAATTTTTTATTATAAATATAGTAATTCTTGTCTCATCATACGACACACATTCAAACTTAAATTATTAGCTAATTCAGATTCCATCTTATTCACATTTCTTCGATTCAAGATTCAAATCTTTCTAAGGTAACTTCAAATCTTTCTAAGGAATTAACCACTTGTGATTAATGATCAAGGTCTAAATAAAGAGCCCAAGAAGAGGAAACCAAGATCCAACCACGGAGAGAGTGTGGATCATTAACCCCGGCGCGACCAATTAATCCTCGTTATTAGTCTGAAGGATTGCGCGCGTATAAAGGTGAGATAGCGTGCCGATGAAGGCGGCGCAGGCTTTTCCAAACGAACGATTGAGAATCTCGTTATCGAAGCTTTCCCACGCGTCTAAAAAATCACTTCGAAGGATCGATCGGACGACTGCGGTTCCGCAATTCAATCTACCGGTGACGATGTCCACAGTAGAAAACTCGTGTAATTAGTCTCGACCTCGCGCGCATTACTCGCTTGCGTACATTATGACGAGACGGCGATGGGTAACGGTAACGATCGGCAAGGTTGCTGCGCCGTTCAGAGAAGTCCAGTCAAGTTCAAGATTTCGCCATTGGAACGAGCCGTGAATATTAGGTAGTGATGGGTACGATATCTTCTTACGATTTTTCAACAATTCTACGCTGAAGTATTTAAAGATATAGGAAAAGAGTAGATAGTTGAAATTGATATCAATACATGCCTTAATACCGAGTTATATCAAGATAATGTTAATGGGATCGTAATGAGCTTAGATGTTAGCAAGTAATTCTGAGAAAATGACTGGTTAATAATGGTTTTTTTCTTTTCTTTGTATTCTTTGTATTCTTTGTAAGCTATCATAGCTAATAATTTAAAGACAGAGTAGTGATGGGTATGATACCATTCTTTCTCATTACTTTAATACAATTTTGAGTTTAACTGTTTATTTGAAGGTTTATAATCAAAGGAGTAAGGATCCGAAATCGACAGCGTTATTGTGTCGAATCTTAAGATCAAAATCTTATTAAGTTCACTGATATCAAGTACAAGAAACAAGGGTAAAATGAAATTTACTTTCTACCGTTTCAAAATAATAAAAGTAGAGACATTTATATTTACCAAGACTCGAAACGATGAATATGATCTACGATTCCATTCCTTTTGATAACCAGAAAATAATATATATAATATATTGTGATACCATAATTCTTCATCGCTAAGAATTTATATTGCTTGAGAAGCATCGCAACCCATCACTACATGTAGTAATATAAATAAGTACTATTATACGAGTATTATACGTGGATCGCGTGGAAAGATAAGAGGACAAGGTGAGAGAGCCGAAGGAGCGATGACCGAAATAAAGATGGCTCTGGAACAAGCAGCCTGCAGCATCGGTGACATAAGCGTATTTGCACGCGAGCCATGTCGTGTCACCGCTGCCGTAATCGTCGATGAACTCATTATCGACTCGACGACTTTCGTGACGAGGCAAATATGGAAAAGGATTATTCGGGTTAACGAGACGCCCGAGCTTAAACGGCCGATCGCGCGATGAATATTTGCATAGAAGAATAACGTTTTGCTATTGTTAAACTTTGTTGTGAATTCGAATTGATGGCAGAATATTTGCTATTTTTCTCGAGTTGGAAAATTAGCTTATTTAAGTTAAGGATGCGACTGACAACGAGATAAATGAGCGATTGCCCAATGAATTTATTGACAACAATGTGGGCTATTGTTGTTCAAATTTATGACAGGATGTTTGTTGCTTTTCAAGTTGGAAAACTAACGTTGTGGTTGAGGATACGCCTAAGATAAACGAGTGATTGCGCGATGAACATTTTAATGACTTCCACTATAGTAATTTGAGCTTAGAGTGATAGAGTTTGAATTTATGACGTTCGTTATTTTTCAAGTTGGATATTTAACGTTTTAAAGATGTATCTGAAATAAAAGATTGATAGTATGATGAATACTTTAATGATACAGTAATATGAATTATTGTTAGAGTTTGTTGTTTTATAAATTCTTTAGATAGATAATATATTACCTTAAATTATTACTTAATTAATGCTTCTTTCTTTCCAAAGATATTCATAATTATGCTTCTTTCTGGTACAATAGAAAAATTCCTTTAGCTGAGAGTTAAGCATGTCATGTCGTTTCAAGCTCTCGTAAATAAAACATAAAAATTAATACCATAATAATTTATTTACTCCTGATGGTTGTAGAGCTGGAGATAGATTTGCCTCTAGTAATGCGGTATGGCATAAAATTAAGGTATGAATAGAGGTTTCGACCCAGGGGCAATAATATTTGTGAGCTACTTACGTTGTTACGTTGTTGGTTTTTATTTTCAAGACGAAAAGAGCAATAAATCGTACATCACTGCAAAATAATAAATTCAACTTTAATGAAAAATTGAAAGTAAAATTTTCATGTTTATAACTTATCTTAACAACATTACTTACACTATATAGATTTATTTTATGAAAATCATTTTCTATATATACTTTTGAAATAAATATCTTGATTAAACAATATATCAGATTTGAATTACGAATTAATAATAATAAACAATATCTAATGAATAAAATTATTAACAATTTTGCAATATTTATATAAAGTTCGAATTATTTAGATATAACAAATTATTGATCGACATTACCGTCTCACTAATTCAATATATGAGATAACTTCGATTCCATTATCGTCTTCGTTGCGGGTATTCAATCGCCATCCAAATTACTCGTCAATCAATCAACGACGCGTCGACTTTTCGATCCCTGGAATTTAATTTAGCCAATTGTCAGGATCAAATCAATCGCGGTTACATTCACGTTGTCTCGATCGGTATTGCAGGAAGATTTTTTTTACTGTCAAGGGATCAGAGAAGAAGTTAGACACGTGAACAAATTTTCACACAATTTCATTTTCCAACAGTTGAATTTCTGCTAGGTCATGCAATTAATGTTTCTTCAAATACCACCAATTCTCTTTCAAATTCTTATACACATCTCGTCCCTGTTATCGCGTACATTTTGTTCCGTTCTCATAAACGGTACATTCGATATTCCGCAGACAATTTTTTGCCCCACGTTCCTAGCCGCATTCGCGGCTGTTTAGCCAGACAATTATCACGCCAAATTATTCGTGTCGCCGTTGTGAAGATGCTTCGTGGCATTTAACGCGTGGCGGACCTACTTCCGCCACGTCAATGCGGAACACTTGGTGAGTCGTTGACGCGTAATTAATATTCTTCGTATGCAGTCGTGCGTAAATGGTCAACCAGGTCACCAGGATATAAACTAGGTATTTGGACCATTTCTCTACGAACCGTGACTCCACGAATATTTTTTGAACCGATTTCCGATACGTATGTAGGAGTGAGATATAATACATTGGGGATATAGGGGAAATTCGATCGATACTTGTGTAGCGATAGTAATTTAAGAATAACTTCCTGCTTATTTCTTGTCACTTTGCTTTTATGTACATCAGAGGCCAATTTAGTTATTCTTGGAATCAAAGAGTCTAATCGAATCTAATCTAACCTATATTCTAATTATTAAACTTTTAAAATATCATAGAATGAGATAAATTATTAAATGACTTTTTTTGTTTTCTCTTTCTGCTCGTTAAATTTATAGAAATTATATATTTAAATGACAGATTGTAGACATGGACACCGTTGAATTTTTATAATTCAATAATTTCTCTCGAAATGATTTTGAAAAATGATTTCAAATTCGTATTTAATTCTATCATATCAATAATCCTGATTTGCAAATTAAATTTTAAATTTTCAAACGCGAATCGGATATCATTATATCGCAAATAAACAAATCCACGTAAATGTTTCGTGGACACATTTTATAGGCGAGAAAAGATGCGACTATGCAAACTACGGTGATTTTTGGCTCGAATCCAACATTCTGCCGATAGGCTCTCCTCGCCTATCCCTCGTCATTCCCAATATCGTCTACCAAGATATCTCCTCTTCCTCGCGAGAAACATCGTTTCCGTTCCCTCGAACCGCGTTGAAATCACAAAGTAACGAAGAAAAGGTGGCCAAGAAAACGGTTGAATCGCCGTTAAAACTGCGAGACCCGATGCTTACGAGGCACTCTCGCAGCCTATAATTCTTTCCTTCTTCCAGTTATCGCCTAGCCAAATCCTGTCATTATCCAGCGCGTAGCTGAAACACCGTGGTTAAGTCGGAAACGTTGGAAACGCCGCTTGCGTTTTCGCGGTGATTTCGATACAGCCATACCTTTTATTCTTTGCCATCGGCTACCATTTCACGCTCGTAAACGAGGACTATTGCTAGAGAATCCTGGGGAATCGATGAAATACTCGCGACTCATTCGATCCCTCCCAAATGACGCGCAGTAAGAGTCAACTCATTTTGCGCGCCATTGTTCTTCTACTGTGAACCTTTCTTTTTTTTTCCTTTTTTTCCTTTTTTTTTCTTTATTTCCTTCGTTTATTCATTTATTTTAATCTTCTGAAAAAGAGAAAGAGAGAGAGAAAAATGAAATTGCGCTTATTCTAACGTACTTGGAGATTAATTGAAAATAGATGGAATACGGATAGCGTATAGGATGAATAGAGCGTGATCACGCTTCTTTCGAATGGCCGGTTACAATGCTTCGACAATGATGTTTCCAGAGGCGGAGGCCGAGGGTTTCATCGGCCTCTTAGAAACCGAACGAGGAAAAAAAAAAAAATCGAGGGTTAAGCGTTGATTCGTGCAGCCATCCGCGGGCTATCGACCCCTCATCTCGAAAAAAAAGCTTTTAACAATCACCCGTGAGCGGGAGAACGTATAGAGAAGAGGCTCGGACCCAAGCCACGGTTTATCGGGATTCCAGCACGTTTCCAACCAGCCGGGGATTATCTTTCAGCGAAACGCCAAAACCTCGTTTCCTTGTAGATGGATGATTTATCGTTCGATCAGATTTTCCATCGTCCTGGAAAATTGCAAATTTTCTTCGTGTTATTTTATGAGATTATAAAAAAAAAGGGTGTATGATAAAATACTTCTTGTTTCAAATATTTCTCTCTAGTGCTTCTTTCATAAATTTATCGTGTTTAATTCGATATTTTTTTTTTGTTTCGTTTGTGTATTAATTATTATTTTGATTGTGCACTCTTTTGACATGCTACTCCATTTTGTAATAATTAAATAACAATTTAGGGTATCTTTGAAGTTACGATGATTCTAAAAGTAAAAAATAATTTGGTACAATATATATATATATATATATATATCAGGAAAATTTTAATTTTAATCTACGTGAATTTTTAATTTTAAAAATTTCAAAATATCTTTCCATTCTTTATTTGAGAAAAATTCATCGTTTTTTCAAATTATTATCAACACTCGATTTCCACGGTTTAACCAAGTGTGGGAACGATATCGTGTTTATACGATACGCAGCGGTAAACCTGCGAGCTAGGGAAATTCAAATTTATTCGAGTGGTCGTTTGGCAGCCAAGATTGACGGAGGTCAACCTTACCGACCGGTTAAAGCCGCGAATGCGGAATTTAATCGAACGACACGACGTTTCATCGAGACGCGCGCACCTAACCTCTAAAAGTAGGTCCGTTGAAAACGGAATCTCGATATATTGAAAGATCGAGACTTGCGAATGCTGGGCTGCACATGAGATCCATGGACCGCTATGCTCGTGCACGTTCGCATATTCTATTGGTAATGCCAGATGGTCCTCGACACGCGAGCCGATGTGCCATTTAATTGCATTCGATACCGTTTCTTCACCTTTGTCGAGGTTTTGTGCTTGATCAATCCATCGCGCAATTGTTTCGACAAAAAAGGGAATAAACGAAGGATAAATTTTAGATTGAATTTTTTTTTTTTATATTAGAAAAATAGAATTTCTTTTTTTTTTTTTTGATTTCTCTATGTTCACTAATATTCGATATAATTCAAACAATTTTCGATACCAATACGGTGCTAGAAACGAACGAAAAAAAAAAAAAAAAAAAAGAAAAGAAATTCCAATAATTTTCAAAGAATTTAAATCGCGCAAAAAGACATTATTTCGAGATTTGCCGGACATCTTTCGCGACATCTGGAAAGTAGGTCCTCCTGATCGCGGGAGGGAATCTACTGCATAGAGGCACCGCTACTTTTGCGCCAGATGGTGCGAAATCTGCACAGCCATGCGCCTGCAGCGTGTAAACAATCCGTGCATAGAAGTATCGCGCGCCAATCTTAATATCGTAGCTTGCACCGTAGCGTCATTAACGATAAATTCACTGTTTATACGGTCCATGATGTAACGAGTTTCTATAAGGTGTACAATATGGGATCTTTGAGCTATTATGTATATTAGGTACCTCATAATTCGTGGCACAAATGAGACTAGGGGGATTTTATGTAATAATAAAGAAGTTTTTTTATTTGAAATAATTTTACGATATGAACATGCTATTGAAGTAACCTTAGTATATTATTAGAGAGTTAAGTTGGTTGATATAGAATGTATGATAAATATAGATATATGAAAGAGGATAGTTTAAAGGGGAATTAAAATAATTTTTAACAAATTGCAAGATGTGATAATGCAAAAAAATCTTTTTCAGTCATCACTTGCAATTTAAAACAAATTTTTATAAATATTAAAATATAACAAATGTTAGAGACAATTACTCAGATATAATAAAATTTGACTTGGCAATTGTCCACCTATCCAAATTTTATTAATTGTCTTTATTCAAGTATATATTGAATAAATATAATAGATATCTTCTGACAGTTTTTATTCGATTATTTGCATAATTTCATATCTCAAAATCAATCGTACAAACCAACCAAATTGAAGGAGCCATTGTGATTTCTTACACGAAATGAAATAATGCTTTGCGTGGAAATGGAATTTCTTAATCAATCTTCGTCGACACTCGCCTCTTGATCTTTGTCTTCTTTAACGTTAACATTCTTGTACTAGTAAGATATATTTATAAAGTTTACCAGTGTTTCTTTTCGTTTCTCGGTCATGTAACGTAAATTGCGCTTAAGAATTCGCGAGCACGTTCGTTGTATCGGGACTCGCGACGATCCTACAAATTCGCGATCACGATTCAAGCTTTAAACATCATCGATCAAGCGGCGGAATATTTCTCTCGCGAGGGTCAAGTCTTGGATTTTTTTCTTCATTTCGACTTGTTTTAACTGTTATACGCCTCGAAACAGTTATCTTCTATGCACTATCCATCGTGCATATTCAAAATCGCGAATGCGTGTTATTCGAAATACTATAATTTAGCTTTAGGAACGCGGTAATACTAGTATTTATATTAAAGATTAGCAATCTTCTGCATTCCAAATGGAGAATCGTCTCTTTTGTTGTTTTATCAAGTTTAAGAAGTATTAAAATTCTTGGATTGGTTTGCGCGTTTTAAATATTTAATATAGTAATTTATTTTAATTTATCGTATTTTGAAACGATATGAAACGAAAGGAACTTGTATTATTTTTATTTATTCTTTTCTTTTTTTTTTTGAGATGAAAAAAAAATTGTCAGGAGTGGGATTCGAACCCACGCCCACAGAGTGGACTGCGACCTGAACGCAGCGCCTTAGACCGCTCGGCCATCCTGACCTGCTCCAAGTTTTCTAAAAAAGGATATAAATACTTCCCGTGCATATATATTTGAAATTTTCATTCGAAATAAGTAAAAAATTATTAGAAAGTGAAATTTAATTAAAAATAATTGTAAACTTCATCTCTTGTCACATTAATGTTATAGAATAATATTTGTTCGTTTGTCGTATCTCAAATTAAATGTAAAATAAATCCTATCGTTTAATGCACTTCTGTTGCATATTTCAGGGGCCTCTTTAATAGTAGTTTCCAATGTTATCGACTCAGTAATGAATGATTAAGATTTAATAATATTTATTATGCATTATTTGAATTAAAATTAAATTAATTGAATTAAAATAATTATGCATATGCTATATGAAATTATATAATATTCACTCAATTTGGCGCGTAAATTTCCTAAGATTTAGTTTTTCTGTTATGTTCAGAGTTGCATAAAATTTAAATACATATATATCTCAAGATTTTTTGAATTTTTAAATATTCTGATTTAAATAATAAATATTCTCGTAAACAAAATATTTTGCATATTAAGCATTATATTTTTAAGAAAATATATGATAATACGACATTTAATTTGATTCAACCAATTTAATTTGGAAATTGATTAATAAATAGTATAATTATTAATTCATTAACAATTCATTATATACGATATAATATATATTGTCTACATAATTAATTATTAATCTTCTTGTTAATAATTAACAATTTAATAACTAACTATCAATATAAGTGACGTTTACAAATGTTTTTAAGTGACGATATCGCGTACTAAGTAGTAAATATTCAACTCGATCGAATATACCATTTCAACTGCCTTATTGACTGCAGAAAATGCAGTTTGCTATCTGGGTTCGCGTCAAGGATTCACATCTAGATAGATTCAAGGAGAAACTACTCATTTTAGTGGAGGGAATGCCGACATTTGAAAATCGCAACAGAAAATTTTTCTGCCAATACACTGCCTTTCTCTTCCGTGACGTTTGCAAATATAAATACTTGTTTCCATTTTCATGTTGCGTTATCTAGCGATTGACCAATCTTTACGGTATCCCTTTTTTTTTTCTTTTTTTTTTATCGTATTTTCTTTCTTGAAAATAAATTTACATTATTTGTAGAAATAAATGCCGAATCCTTCATATTTTCACTTTGACGAACAATTTTACATATTCAATGTAACTTCATTTATTTGTCGACGAGCAAGCGTAAAAAAAACATCTTTTGCAATATATTCTTCATACCATTTTTCAAACCTCATCAATTTTCTAAACTCGCGAACGTGCGAGACGAATATGCACGCATATTGTTATATCATATATTAATTCCACATGTAAGTCCTTCAAAGACTTCCATTTATTTATATATCATCTAATAGTATTTTCTAATAATATTTTTTACAGCATTAAAAATATTCTTCCCCTGCAACCAATAAAGCAGTTAAATGCTTTTGTATTCACAAAGCTAATAAAAATAATCGTATCTAAAAAGTACGTGTTCATTGTAAACGTGTTTAGAAATAATGATTAATATCCTCATAGGTTATAGGGATATAATCATAGGTTAAAAATATGTTTATATTCCCTTGCGCCGACTAATATTAATCCGTTTATCCAAACTCATATCTCATACGATATTTTCTCCAACATCTTTAACGTTCCCTTCAACATTAAATCTTATAACTTTAAATTAACTCGTATTTTAATCAATTTGTTCCTCCTTTTTTTTTGATACTCAATTATTTTCTTCTCTATTAATTTACAAACTGCAATATTATAAATCTTGCTACACAGTAAAAACCTGCTATAATTATTATTCGAAGCTGGTTTTTGTACCAAGTGAGAGCCTCCACATTAACTTTTTTTTTTTTTTTTTCAAGTAAAATAGAACGTACAGCCCAACCTTTGCAACATCACTCAAAGACCCCTCCATGAGATTTTCTAAGATGAGATTTAACTTCGAATTACTTGTTTTGCAAGTTCGGAATAATTTCTTTCAAATTAAATTTTTATCACCGATATTTCTACAATATTCCAAGTACAGCGTATACTTGTTAATCGTTCCATTGTTCCTATTAAATTATTCTCATCAATATTCTTTTTCTTTTTTTTTTTCGCAAGCAATATTTTTCTTCTGTCTTCTTCTCACGAGACAATGAAGAAATCACTAGAAAAAAGTCACCAACGATTCTCAGAACACTTATCTTCCTCTGTAATTGGCAAGTTCCGGCTCTGATCGTGCGACAGTTAACCGGGCGTCACCGTAATAAGCTATATAACCTGTCAATAAACTACGTCACGATTAGATTCGTCTCGAGGCGTGCCTCGATAATAGTAATG